ATAAACATAAGCAACTTTTTCCTGAACTTATCTCCTTGGGCAAGGGAAACAAAAGCAAAATGAACAAATGGGACTACATCAAACTAGAAAGCTTTTGTACAGCAAAGGACACCTATCAGCAGAACAGAAAGTCATCTTACAATATGGGAGAATATATTTGTAAATGATATATCTGACAAGGGGTTAACATCCAAAATATATAAAGAACTTATATGCCTCAACACCCAAAAGCAAATAACCCAATTAAAAAATGGATGGAGGATATGAACAGACAGTTCTCCAAAGAAGAAATTCAGATGGCCAACAGGCACTTGAAAAGATGCTCCACATTACTATTTATCAGGGAAATGCAAATTGAAACCACAATGAAATATCAACTCACACCAGTTAGGATGGCCAACATCAAAAAAAACAATGAACAACAAATGCTGGTGAGGATGTGGAGAAAAAGGAATCCCCCTACACTGCTGGTGGGAATCCAATTTAGTTCAACCATTGTGGAAAGCAATATGGAGGTTCCTCAAAAAAACTAAAAATAGAAATACCATTTGTCCCTGGAATCTCACTCCTTGGATTTACCCAAAGAATACAACTTCTCAGATTCAAAAAGACATATGCACCCCTATGTTTATCACAGCACTATTTACAACAGCCATGATATGGAAGCAACCTAAGTGTCCATCAGTAGATGAATGGATAAAGAAGATATGGTACATATACACAATGGAATACTATTCAGCCATAAGAAAGAAACAATCCTACCATCTGCAACAACATGGATGGAGCTGCAGGGAATTATGCTCAGTGAAATAAACCAGGCAGAGAAAGACAAGTGCCAAATGATTTCGCTCATTTGTGGAGTGTAACAATGAAGCAAAACTTGTTAGGAACAAAATAGCAGCAGACTCACAGACTCCAAGAAGGGACTAGTGGTTACCAAAGGGGAGGGGTGTGAGAGTGTCGGGGGGGAAGGGAGGGAGAAGGGGATTGAGGGGTATTATGTTTAGTACACATGGTGTGGGGGGGTCACAGGGAAAACAGTGTAGCACAGAAAAGGGAAACTGAATCTGTGGCATCTTTCTACATTGATGGACAATGACTACATTGGGGTATGGGTAGGGACTTGATAATATGGGTAAATGTAGTAACCACATTGTTTTTTCATGTGAAACCTTCATAAGAGTGTGTATCAATAATACCTTAATAAAAAAATTTAAAAAAAAAGAAATACCATTTGACCCACAAATTCCACTCCTAGGAATTTACCCAAAGAAAGCAAGGTCTCAGATTCAAAAAGACATTATGCACCCCTATGTTTATTGCAGCACTATTTACAATAGCCAAGATATGGAAGTAACCTAAGATATGCTACTGCCTAGCATCAGTAGATGAATGGATAAAGAAGTGGTGGTACATATACACAATGCAATACTATTCAACCTTAAGAAGAAAACAAATCCTACTATCTGTAACAGCATGGATGGAGCTAGAGGGTATTATGCTCAGTGAAATAAGCCACGTGGAGAATGACAAGTATCAAATGATTTCCCTCACTTGTGGAGTGTAACAATGAAGTAAAACTGAAGGAACTAAGCAGCAGCTGAATTACAGACTCCAAGAAGGGACTAGCAATTACCAAAGGGGAGGGTTGGGAGAGGGTGGGTGGGGAGGGAGGGAGAAGGGGATTGAGGGGTATTATGATTGACACACATGGTATGTGGGGGTCATGGGGAAGACACTGTAGCACAGAGAAGACAAGTAGTGACGAAGTAAAACTGAAGGAACTAAGCAGCAGCCGAATTACAGACTCCAAGAAGGAACTAGCAATTACCAAAAGGGAGGGGTGGGAGAGAAATCACTACACTGATGGCATCTCACTACACTGGCATCTCACTACACTGATGGACAGTGAGTGCAATGGGGTGTTGGGGGGACTTGAGAATATGAGTGAATGTAGTACCCACAATGTTTTTCATGTGAAACCTTAATAATGAAAAAAGGTATCCCCCAAAAATAAAAAATAAAAAATAAATGCCCAAGGAGAACAGATTTAAAGAAAATGTGTGCAATGCACTTATCAGTTACTGGTGTATGGAAGGTACTCAACAATAACATTTTTATATATCAAATACTTATTTCCTAAATAATCTCTGAGAAGGAAACAGAGCCACAATGAACTGTCAGTGCTCACCTACACATCCACACATACCCAGGTTCACACCTGTGTACACATCTGTGCCTGTATGTTCATGCACACCCTCTCCCACCATCATGAGCAGTATGCAGGCTTTCCCTTCCAGAAGTCCTTTCAATAAAGATACACCAGATGGGATTGGGTCTGCTAAATGACTGAGCAGCCCCACATCAAAAGTCATAGTCATTGAATCCATCATGTGGAGCAGCCCTGGCTCCTCGTCCTGCCTGATGGGCCGTGGAGGAATGCATCCTCCTCCAGAGCAGAGAGCAGACATGGGTGGGCAGTTGCCAGGCAGAGGAGCCAAGAGAACAGATGGCAGTTGCACAGCCTCCTCCTAGCCCTGCTCCCTCACTGCCAGGGAAGAAGCCCAGGCAGTAAGGATCCTGTGGATGCCTCCTTTCCTTTCCTCCACCAGGCTATCCTGAACTCTGTCTCTTAACAGATTTTGGAGCAACACCAGCTCACCACCTATTATACTAGCTGTGTAACCTGGCAGGATAAAGAGCCTCCTGGAGTGCCCTTAACACAACTCGGCTCTTCTAAGCCAACTGTAACCTTAACTCTGCTCCCTAACTCGTAATTAGAAGGCAACTATCCTTACTTAATTAATCACACACTAAGGAAAAAACCTCTAGATAATTTTACCAAATATCATCCCCACCAAATCTACAAATACACAGTGTCCCCAGCTGTGGTAGACCCTGTAGGCGCCCCATCTATATCCCTTGGGCCTTACCACTTCAGAGTGATCTACTGATTTCCAATGGCCAGTCCCTGCACCTCTTCATTTGAGAGCTTTCTCTGAAACAGGGGAAGGAGGGTGCTCTGCGAGCAAAAGGCGGGCTGAAGTGCTGCCAGCAGCCAAGAGCTTGGAACAGAACTGGGTATATAAATCCTCACTCCCCTTACCCCTCAGCTGGGATAACTTCAGGATGTGATTTTGTACAGACCTCACAGGACCAGTCACTGAGCTCTGGTCACTCCCCGTGATAGCTGGTTTGGTGACACTCCTTTATCGGCCACCTTGCCATCCCTAGAAGTGTTCTCTGCACCTCCCAATCCTTGCTTCATGGTCAGCTTCTGGTAGAAGATCCAAACTAAGACACCAGCCTTAGCCTTTCAACCCTTTCCTGGACATCGAAGCCTCTTCCCCAGTCATGACCATTTCCTTGAGCCACCAGTTCTGCTTGGCATTCTAAATGCTTGCTCCTGACTCCTTTGCCTAATCCCTCTAATTCTGGATACCACCCTAGTTTTATCTTAACAATGAATTCTAACCATTTTTCTTAACCACTACACTTTCCTCAAGTATCCTTGGTTCTTCTCATTGGTTCAGTTCTTGGAGTCCAGCCTGGCCACATGTAGTGCCATTCACTCCTAGGAATTAGCTCTGCAAATGAGCAAATGAGCAAGAGACTTGATGAGAACCTTCAGGCCAGTCCCTGGGGGCTGACAGAGTTGACAGAGAAAATGCTTCCAGTTGCTTCTCCACCTGGAGACAGGAAATCGGAAAGGGTGAGACATATGTTCTGGATAATTCACCCCGGGATGCTCAGGGCTGACACCAGGTGGAGGGGCTGGACTGACCCATGGAGGTCTTGGCCATTTGCCTCAGAACTGAGCCTACCCAGAATAAGGTGGGGTTGGGCAGGCTGAGTGGATGGGGTTCCCCTTAGTGCTTGCCCCATCTCCTGCAATCTCCTCTCTTTCCCTTTTAATTCTTTCTTTGTCTTTTTTTTTAAACTATATGTAGTAACTAGAGGCCTCAAGAAAAAAGTGCCTGTGTTGGCAATTCAAACATTAGCCAAGGTTAATTCACATACTTCCTCTGCATTTTAGACTCTTAAAAATCAAAAGCCTAGATACACAGATACAGTTAAGAGACAAATAATAAAAATAATGTGTAGTACATATGACAAAAGATGAATATTCTTAATATCAACATTAATATCTTAAACTAAATAATCTTTGTAGGAAAAATGGACAAAAGGACATACATAGGTAATGCAAACAGATAATGCATGCAAAAATAAATCCAAAATCAAATTTAAAGAAATATATAATATAAAAATAATTTAGACTTCATTAATTAACCAAAAAATGCAAATTAAAACATCCATTAGGTGCCATTTTTTTCCTTTCTGCATTGGCAACAATTAAAATGAGTAATGATATCCTAAGGCTACTGAAGTGTGGGGAAATCTGCCTTCTCATTCACTATTGGAGGGAGTGTAAATTGGTATAACCTTTCTGGAGGGAAGTTTGGCCATATATAACAAATGTTAAACAGCATTGCAATTCTTTTTCTAAAAAATTAATCCAAGATAGTAGGACAAATGAACAAATGTTCACAAATTTTTGTGTATAGGCAGAAAGATGGACCCAACTGTCTTTCAAGACATTTAAGCAAACTTTAATCACCTGCCTCCATTAAAGAATAAGCTTTGCAAGTGTAGGGAACCTTTTCTGCCTCATTCACCACTGCATCTTTAATGCCTAAAACATAGTTAGTGCTCAAAAAGTGTCTGCTGATTGAAAAAATAGGATAATTAATCAAGAGGGGATTCATTGGTTCACTCATACAGTAGTCATCAGCAGCCATTAAAAATTAACAAATAGTAATAGTGAATGTTTATTCAGTTATTGAGCTTGTACTTTATGCTACATCCTATGCTAAGGTTTCCTCAAGGACCATGAAATTAATCTTTGCAATAAGCCTATGACATAAGTAGATACTATTACGCATAGTTAGGACTTTTTTCATTGAAATATACTGAAATTTAACTAAAATTAGCTTTGGAAAGAAAAGGAATTTATTGATTCTTGTAACTGAAAAGTCCACAGGGTAATTCAGGCTTCTGATTTAGTTGGATTCAAGAACTCAAACAATGTCTTGATGATTTAGTCTCTCTCTCTCTCTCTCTCTCCATCTCTCTTCTTTCCTCTGCGTGGGCTCCATCCCCAGCCTAAATCCACATGGAGAGTTCCTCTGTAACTTTAGGCTCACAAGGTCCGAAGGACATTTGATCTCAGAAGGCAAAGCTAGCAAGTTAGCCCAGGGAGGGCCCTGGCTATAGCCAGGATAAGGTTCCCTGATTAAACCTAGTTATGTATGCATCTCTGAGAAGGCCTAAGTGCAGGAAAAATAGGATCACTAAAGAGAAGCGGGGCAGATGAAAAGCATATCCCACTACAGATGCCTCCTGTAACAGATGAGGACACTGAGGCACAGATTGGCTAAGTACTTTCCCTAAAGTCTCAGACTAGAAGTAAGAAGTCAAATTCAAACTCAGGCAGCTTGACTTTGGAGCCCATGATTTCAGTGGATGGCTAATGTTACGTGTTAACTTGGTTGGGCCATAGAGTGCCCAGATATTTGGTTAAACATTCTGGGTGTTTCTTTAAGGGTTTTTCTGGGTGAGATTATTTGAATCAGTAGTCTGAGTAAAGCAGATTGCCTTTGCCAGTGTGGGCAGCCTTCATTTCAACTGTTAAAGGCCTGAGTAAATAAAAAAGCTGAGCAAGAGCGAATTTGGTCTCTGCCTGATGGCCTTCAAGGTGGGATGTCAATCTTTTGTCTTCAGACTTGGACTGGAACTTCTACCATCGGCTTTTCTGTTTCTCAGGCCTGTGGACTGCAGATCTTAGGACTTCTCAGCCTCCATATTTCATGAGCCAATTCCTTACCATAAATCTCTAAATATAAATACATAAATATAAATGTATATTTATAAATATATAAATAAACCTCATATATAGTCATACTTTACATAAATATAAAACCATATCTACACTTTATATATATAATATGGTTTTATATATGCATAAACCACATATAAAAACTATATATAAATCACTGTTGTACATTGAAACAAATATATTGTATATCAACTGTACTTCAGTAACAAATAAATAAAACATGTATACAAAAAAATTATATATCCATGGTTTCATATACAGGTGAGAGATACTGCAGGTTTGGTTCCAGACCACCACAATAAAGTGAATAATACTGCAATAAAGCAAGTCAAACGAATTCTTCAGTTTCCCAGTGCATACAAAAGTTGTTTTATGCTATACTGTAGTCTATTATAAAGTGTGCAATAACATTATGTGTAAAAAAAATGAATATGACTTAATTAAAAAATGCTTTATTGATAAAAATGCCAATCATCATCTGAGCTTTCAGTGAGTTGTAATCACTGATCACAGACCACCATAACAAGTATAATGAAAAAGTTTGAAATTTTGTAACAATTACCAAAATATGACAGACACAAAATGAGCAAATACTTTTGGAAAAATGGTGTCAATAGACTTGCTCAATGCAAGGCTGACACAAACCTTTAATTAAAAAAAAATGCAGTATCTGTGAAATGCAATAAAGCGAAGCACAGTGAAATGAGGTATGCTTATATATCCTGACCAACAGGATATATGTCATATATATCTCTGGCAAATTCTAATACATTTAGCTACAAGCCAGTACTGCAAAGCTATATATGCATAGATATGGAAAATGTCCACCACATATTTCTAAATTAAGAATAATCAGCTAGAGTGTATTATGTGTCGCATGACCCTGTTTACATAACCACATACAAATGAAAAGCCTGGAGGGTTACATACCACACTGTTACCAAAGGGTGTCTCTGGGGGTGGTATTAGGGAGGGCTTTTGCTTTTTCATTGCTTGAATTTTTTTCCCCATAAAGGTCAAGTTTTTCTTGGAAAAAGAGTATTTCCATTCCTGAAAAGAAATTTAAATCAGTACAATCAAATTTCACACCAAAATGGGTGAGAGCAGTAGGGAAATCAGAAATTGCTTCACAAACATGAGAACACAAGACATGAAATGGCAGCATTTTCTCCTCTCCTCCATCGCACTTTTCAGTTTATTCAATTTACTTTTAGGTTCCTGAGAAGGGCTGGAGATGGTATGCTTGGTTGCCCTTCTTTTCCCTTGGCTCTGAGAGTTTATCCATGCTGCTGGACTGCAAGTGATGAAAAGAATAAACTGCACATCAGAAAACTCAAGGGCCAGAAGGAACCTTACAGTAGATCTGGTTCAGCAATTTAAAAAAAATGCTTTCTTTTCCCCTTGGAAAACCAGACCCAAGAGAGGGAGGAGACCAGAAATGAGAATACGTGCTCTCTGAGAGCCTGGTTGGAAAGACACTCATCTAACTAACTGTATCATTTTGCAGAAGGGTCTCAGGGTTTCTGCTCTTGTACCACACATTCCTAAATCTACACAGATGAGCTTGGATTGTATCTTTTCTAGACTTTAAGAGGTTGAGCAGCTCTTAGGTGACAGCACATGTGACTGGGCAGGGTCTCTGCCTCCTATGTAGGTGAAGGATGGCCAATTTTCTCATTCCTGGCAACCCAATCCCTTCTCCCCGCTTTTCAGGATTATTGAAACTGACTCTCATTCTCCCCAGGGGTCACAGGGTGTTACAGGGTTCTCTGGTCTCAGGACTGGGTTGGGCTTAAGGGACACCAGAAAGAAGAGCTGGGCAAAATAACTCATTGGCAAGGCAAGTAGCCTTTGTTAAGATCATGGAATTAGGATTGGGATTAGGTTTGAAATCTAGGATTACATTTTATAGATAATATTAGGATTAGGATTAAGATTGAGGCTAGAGTTTGGATTGGACCTTGGGCTAATAACAGGTTAGAATGAACTGTAATAGTGAAAAGGCTTCAACTAGGAGTTGGAGGAGTTGTGGGGTGAGGATTAGAATCGGAGTTGGATGACCAACTGCTTTCTCTCATTTCTCTACAAGCTCCTCCTTTTGGTCCTGTGTTCTAGGGCTAAGGTCTCTGAACTTGGTTATCACCAAGAAAGCAGCCCTTGTGAGCCCCTGCTCTTCAGGCGTAACTGGCTCTTTTCCATACAACCTCAGTTGCTACTTCACAAGCTCTGGCTGTTGAAGCATTAATATTATCCTTTACTAGACCCTACTGAGCGTGTATATGGATCCTTTTAGGCCAGTAGTGATTGCAAACTGTCCCCAAGAGTCATATTACAGGTTCATCTGGAATGTAATCCACACTAGAAAATACTCAAGACATTTATGACAAAAGCACTTCTGCCAATTACCTCCACACTTTGGTCCCTGAATTTGATGGTGCCCTGAAATTTTACGTCCTCTCTGAGCTTTTGGCCAACTAAGTGGGCATGTTACAGGAATCAGTTCAAGGGTTTTTGGATAGAAACCTTGTGAACTAAGAGTGAAGAGTTAGCTAGCTAGGAACATCATAAGAGGAAGCAGATGAACACTGGGTCTCACCTCATACAACTACAGTGTGATGAAAAGCTCGGAGTTTTGGTGTCTTCTAGGGAAGGTGGGTGGTGGTGACATTCCCCCAGCACAGTCTGATTAGGATGCCAATTCATATATGGGCCTCACATTGATTTAACAAATTATTGTGCCTTTTTAATCATTCAACAAATATTTATTGAATGCCTACTAAATGTGCCTTGAGCATTGTGTATATAGTGGTGAACAAAACAGACATGATCTTTGGAGAGGAGACACACAAATAGACACTGAATTGTAAGCTGTGAAGTTCCCACTATCACAAGGGAAAATGGTGCCATAGAAGACAAAAAAGGGCAACATAATTTTAACTGGAGCTGGGGGTCAGTGAAGACTTCTTTGATGGAGTACTGTTTAAATTTAGGCCTTAAATAGTCTAAGGAGTTTGTTGGAAAATTCTTGATCATGTCCATGGTTCTTTAGGCTTCTGAATTTTAGGCTGTGATTTACTTTTTCTTGGTCTGTGGTAGATACCTTTGGGAATCTTGGCTAAGAACATAGCTGACCTTTGAGATCTGCAGGCACAAAGATGGGCCTTTGGCAGCCATGTCTGCATTACAAAACAAGGAGCCTTGACTACTCGATGCTCCACTGGTAAAGGTGACTGTACCAACAATAGACAATTTGACATATGCTAGGCCAACAAGGTTCTTCCTCCAGGGAATTGGGATTCATAGATACTAATCTCTGCTGGTTCTTGAAGTGAGGATAGGTAATCTTAGGCAATCATGATATACTATGTTCCCAGAGAAGCAGTGAAAGCAGGTCTATAGAGAATGAAGTAGCTTCGTAGAAAGCAGTAGATTAGGTTCTATCAGATTATTTCTTTGATTAATTTTTTTTCATGAAGTTGTTTCTGTGGGTTTCTGTTACTTGCAGACAAGAGCCTTGACTAAAAGTGGCATTTATTAGATTTGCTCTTCCATTTAGTAACCATGGATTGAGTTTGTTTCAATGCCACAGAGATTTGTGGATCCAACAAGCACACAGAATGAGCAAACAGAATGGTGTACGGCAATAAATAACATTTGGTAATAAAACTAATCTAGGTAATACCCTCTGAGGCTCCTGTATCCCCACTGGGTCAGCGGTACATAGCAGCTGTTTCTAAGGGCCAATCCTTCTGGAGCTAGGTTTTGTGAGAGGAGACAAACATGGCTCTATAACGGAGATTATGTGGGCTGGGGAAGGAGGGACCAATTCTGCCTTATCAGAGTATGTGGAAGGCACTGAAGAGGTAACACACCTCTGAAGGGGCAGGAAGAATAGGCTGGGCAAGAGAGAGGAAAGGCAGCTGGGGCAGAAGGGAAGAGGAGGGACAAGGCCTTAGGAAATGCCATGTACATACTGGGTGCTCCCTAAGTATTTGTTAAACTAAGAAACTGACTTTAAGACAAATAGGCAAGCAATTTGTAAGATGACAATCACATTTAATATCAAATTTTCCTTTTCATTTTTGGGTTTCCTTTTCCATATATAAAAGAAAATCATCAAGATGCCAATAGAGAGTCCCACAAATTATTTGTTAAACTCAAAGGCTGTAAGTTTTCACAAATGTGGCAATTTTATGTCAGTTTAAGTGAAAATTTAAGGGCAGCAAAAGTCCAATGAGAGCTAGGTGTGGTGTATTTCTTCATCCATTCTATGTACTTTTGGCAGGAATACTTACTGAAGGCTTGTGAAAATCCACAAAATTGAAACTAAGTATTACACAAAAGAAATCAGCACTCACATTTGGAAGAGCTTTGACTTTAAGTGGCTTGATTTTTTTCGATCGTCTGCATCATCAACAGCATCTTTAGGAGCATGTTAAATAAATGTGATCCTTGCTTTTTGGAGGATGAAAGTGACATCAACCATAACAAGTCCACAGAGCATGCTCAAACATAATGGTATATATAGAAATAAAATGACATTTGGTAATAAAACTAATCTAGGTAATACACTTTGAGACTCTTTTATCCCTGTTAGGTAGAGGGGAAACAGCAGTTATTTCTAAGAGCCAAGAAGCCTTCGTGGAAGTAACAGGGACTTTTAAGTTCTCCCATAAAGGCCTCAGTTGGGGGGGTCAGCTCTCCAAGAGGTATGGTGGGCATTTTTTGCTTGTTGAAATTAGTCATCAACAATCGTCTTCCACTCACGATTGACTGGACCACAAAATGAGTTCCGGATCAAAGCCAAGGGGCGCTAAAGGACTAATTTTTTAGTGGCTCAAACTTCTTTGGTTACTTACAATTTCCATCACTGACTACTTTCTAGGTCCCCTCCAGAAACCAGACATGTCCACTCCAGGAAGAAAGGTTCTCCTAGCCTAAGTATAGCGAGTGGATTTGTTTCTGAAGAAGGGGGTTACCAATGGAGAAGGAGAGGCAAAGAACCTAACCAAGAACCAACCCCCCACAACTCCCTCGCTGGGGCGAGGAAGTCAAGGGACATTTTCCACAAGTCCATCACTGCCAAGAAGAGGGTAGTTCTCCGAGTAGAACTGGGAGAGTGGGTCAGGTAGATAGATTTCCAGGGGGTTGACAGTTTGGGGAGCAATGCTTTCCAGCATCGCCCAGGACCGAGAAATTCCGGTTCGGAAACCTCTACCGCAGCTGAAAACGGCTGGACGGAGACGAACTTCCGGGTTCGGAAGCGCTCCCTCCTGGCCCCTCCCCATACCCAGTTGCAGGGTTTCCGGGCGCATGCGCAACGTTCGGCCGCTGCTCAGGGACTGGCCCGACTTACCCTAAACAACTAATCCGCTCTTTCTCCTATCCCCACAAGCCCCAGCTTGGGGCGTACCATTCGTGTTCAGGGGAGGTAACGCACCCCAGAGTACTCAGAAGCCTGCTCCCCTCCTTCTGAGCGGGGAAAGGTAAGTTTGCCTCAGATTTTAAAAGTTCCAAGAACACGAAAGCCCCAGAGGCCTGTCGCCCAGTAATAGCCCGACGCTCTCGGCTCTACACCGCAGCCCCGCACTCTTCCTTTGAGGCGCTAAACAAAGTGGCACGCCCGGATCCCAGCTGATCAGCTGGTGGGCCTCGGCTGCGGCTCCCCCGGGCGAGACCATTGTGATTCCTTGGGAGGGGTGCGTTAGGCGAGGAGGGGGCGGAGCGGCCATTGTCCGGTCAGCGCAGTCTCTGGGGGAGGGGTGACTGTTACGGAGTGAGCGGGGCCCGGGGCTTTACAGCGGCCGCTGCTACGCAGGAGCCGGCGCGTCCTTCACAGTGCCGCCACCCGGGACATCGCTCTGGCTGGGAGCGGCGGTGGGAGCTGCTGAGGGCGCTGGGTCTCCCCTCCTCCCCCACGGCCCTCGGTTCGCTCGCACGCCCCTCCTCCTCAGCTCCCCTCCCTCTTCTCTTCGCACCTCCCCCGGTCTCCCCGTCTCCGCAGGCCGAGTGGTGCGGCCCGCCTCCAGCTGACCGGCCTGGAATCCCGGCTCGGATCCCCGGACTCGCGCCCGCCCGCGCGCCCGCTCCCTCCCCTTCCCCCCGCCCCGAGCCCCCCGACGCCGCCGCCGCTGCGTCCTTCGAGCGGGGCCCGGGCCCAGCAGTCGCCACCGCTGCCGCCAGCGAGCTCCGCCGCCGCCAAGCACCATGGGAGACGCCGGGAGCGAGCGTAGCAAAGCGCCCAGCCTGCCGCCTCGCTGTCCCTGCGGCTTCTGGGGGTAAGTGCCCGGCCGGGTGGGGCGGGAGTTGGGGGCGCAGGCGCCGGGACTGCCTGGGCAGGCCTCGGGGAGGGCGGAGGCCGGACCAGAGGGCTGGGCCCAGCCGGGCCTGCGGGTAGGGGCTAGGGGCCGCGTCCCGGGGAGGGCCGCCGGTTGGGGACCTGGGGTAGGCAGAGAAGGCCCTGCCCAGGGTGAGCTGCCACCCTCTGGGACTCGCCTGCCTGAGGCTCGGCCAGCCTGGGCCTTGGGTAAGGGGGGCAGGGCAGCCGGGAGGGGTGAGGGGCGGCGGTGGCATCTCAGGGGGGAGCAGGGGTACCCCCTTTCTCCCTGCCTTTCTGAGTCGGTGCCCAGGCACCAGGAGGGTATTTCCTCTGACTTTTTTACCTCCCCTCCTCCCTGTCCCCCAGAGACTTGCATCATCACTTCCTAAATTATATCCCAGTGCCCCAGTTGGGTTTTAGGAAGCTGTTCATACGTCACCCATTTTTAAAAACGAGTCCAGGACCCAGGCTGGGTAAAGTTAAAAGACTGTTGAGGTCTCACCTTTATTTAAAACGCGTTTCAGAAGGTATGTAAAATTTCCTTGTCAAAAACAAAACCTCAAGTCACCCTGGCTTGGGAACATGAGAGCCAGTTTACTCAATTGGCTCAAATTCCCCTAACACCCCCCACCCCCCATTTTTATATGACAAAAAATATTCACGTTGGCCAAACTGTATTGTGACTTGGCCATCCTGTGTTACAGTGAAAAAATATGAGTTGGGAAGTGAACTTTTCCACCTATAGTTACAGTTTAAATACTCCTCCCTAACACCGAATTTCATGGATTGCCACCCTCTCTTACCTAACAGGTTGCCTCCATCATACTGTTATGACTCTAATTCTGTTGTCTTTGGAGACTTTGAATGCCAGCTTCTGTGACTGAAACCTTTTTTCTTTTTGTTTTGTTTTCCAAAGACAGTATATTTGGAGATGCAAAGAGGCAATTAAGGATATGGTCATTTCTGGCTAGGACATCTTGGGAAGATGTATTTTATCTTTGCTGTATCCCAGATCATAGGAATGGTTACAAATAAAGGCTATAATTTTTGGGAGTGCAGAGCAAGGTTAGAAAGTGGATATTAATGCAGATTTCTCTGGAATTTGTCAAATCCAAAGGTTATGTTGAAGAAGTAGATCCTTATTTTCTCATCTTTATGCCCTTTCTCTAAAAATTCTTAGTGGAAGGATATTAAGTTACGGCATTGCCAGAAGTTCTGAAAATGTGAAAATGTTTTAGGTTCTATAGTCTCCCTTTTTTGATTTGAGAATAATAATTGGGTTATTTGCTAAGTGCTTTAAGCCAATCTAATCCCCACAAGAATCGGTAGAACCATTATCTATTTATAAATGGGGAAACTGAGGCTTAAGAGGGTGGATAACTTGCCCCTTGCGTACAGGGAGTTTAGGGTGGAGCTGGTGAGCTCTTTAGTGTGCTTAGTACCATCACGTTTATGACAACGGTCTGCTGTCCTGGAAAAATCTGGGTGTCACAAGCCTCAGATTGTAACTCATTATAAGGAGACATGTGGCTCAAAGAAAGTAGCAGCCAATGGCATATAATGCCCAGGATATATCAGAAGTCTGTTTCCTGGCAACAAATTTATGTCCTTGGGATCGTTAGGAGTGGAACCCTGTTGAAAGAATTAGAACAAGATGGAGAAACTAAGGAAATGGAATGGCTTTTTACTCTTAGACAGTGGAGTTCTTAATAAGGCCAAGAGAGTTTTTGATAGTTGCAGAGAGGAATAGTTTACACTAATGCCACACTTGACCTATAAGCAACCAGGGCTGCTTTTTTGATACTTTCAGTCTGGCACTTTTTATGAATTGCTGTTTCCCTAATAGGATAGTGAGCTCAAAACTAATATTTTATGGTGAGAAGTCTTCTTTTTAATGTAATGTTTTAATCTTTCCTTGAAGGCGTTTGTAGGCACCTGTGTAGTTTGTTTTATACCAATGTATAATGAAATTGCTGCCTAGTTTCAATCAGATTATTATGACTGACTTTGAACTACTTCTTTATTCCATGGGTCACATTCATGTTATGTTCGAAGTAAACTTAGAATATATTCAACAAATATTTGAGTGCCTCACAAATATTTGACTGGGGGACGCCGGCCCCCTCCTTGGGAAGTAGGGGCACAGAGAAGTAAAGTGAGAGTTACAGTAAACTGTTTGAATTGGTACAGGTTGTGATGGCAGGGGCACCTGCCTAATGGAGATGGAGGAGGTAGGGGAAGGGAGCCTGGAGGAAATGACACCATCCTGGGCCTGCAGGAAGGGTAGGAGAGAATGGCAATCATAGGGAGAATGTTTCAGGCATGGATAAAGGCCTGGATGTGAAAGAGCGGACTACACATTTCAGGAAGTGAGTTCATTAGGGTTGATTGGTATATTGTGAATGGGGGATTGGCTAGAGATGAGGCTGAGATGGGGAGAGCAGTTGGTGATAGAGGGCCCTATAGGTAGGTAATGTTTAGTTACGTCTTTGGACTTTTATCCTGAGTGCATTGAGGAGCTATTGAAGAATTTTGAGCAGGTAGTGATGTGATTTTCTTTAATGGTGAAAGATTATTGGTTGATCTTGAAGGTGGCCTTGGTGTGTGTGTATGATTGTGTGTGTCTATGAATGTGGTGTATGTATGTTCCTGGGGGGTGTTGGCAGAGGTACACAAGGCTTTTCAGTGGGAGTAATCCAGGTCAGCTATGATGGTGGTCTGTACATGTATAGTGGCCAGAGAGAGTGGAGAGAATGATAGGTGGGAAAGTCATTCAGGAGGTATCTTGCTTTTTCCTTTCAATGGGAGTGAAGGTAAGGGTGTTCTCTAAAAGCTTCAGTCAGCATTGCGTTTTATGGAAGCCAGAGGTCTGTAAAGTCAGCTAGCCAGAGCCCCACACCCAGTCCTTTGCAGAGGAGCCTCTCAGTAGAATGTTCTGGTACCAGCAGACTAAAGGCAGTTCCTTTAGGATTGTTTTTCTCTCCAATAACTTAGGCTACAGGTCTTGCTGCTCAAAATTGTCCAGTAAGGACACTAGTCATTGGGGACGTGGATAAATACAAGAGCTTTTAGGTCTGTCTTGTGAGAATGCAATTAGAAAGGAGAGTGCCAAGAGGAGCACACAATCCAAATGTGCTAGTGCTTAGAACAAATAAACTTTCTAGTTATCTTCCTCTTGGTATGTATATATTGTGTAAGTGTGTGGGTAATAAAGTTACTCTTTTATAGAGAAACCATCTCTATACTGGGAAACATTGCTGCCTTAGAAATCATTGAAAATTTATCTCTTTATAAAAGTTGGAAATTGTTTATATACACATGTACATACAATATTTTTAGGGTTAATGACAATAAGCAGTTTTTTCTTCTGAGTCTTGGACTTGAAACTTTTAGTGGAATATGAGCATTTTCTTGGCTCATTTTAGGCACTCAGTAATCATGCAAAAACATACTAGTTTGTAATTGTCAAATCGGAAGTGAAGTCAATTAGTACATTTTCTTTAGTTGGAGTATATGCATATAAAGAGCACTTTTAAGCTGTATGGATTTAAGTGGTATTGAAACTATGTTTTAAATTGTTTAGACTTTAAAAATATACTGAGGTATGTAGATTCTTCACAGACACTCAAAGTTGTTCAAAGAGCAGACCTAAAATACTATAAGAAAAGGCAGGAAGAAGATGAATAAGAGTATACTGAGTGTATTAAGGATAATAAAAAGGATAATTAGGTAGGGTGGGGAAAGATGGACTTTCTAATTTTACTCAAGTGTAAAAATCCAATTGCTGTTGATATTTTACTTTTACAATTGGAGACAATATACTGAAATGTAAAATTATGGAAACCTCAGGAAGTACTATTTCATAAAAAAAGTTTAAAGCATATAAATGTCCTGGTATTTAGGGAATAATGAAATATTTAAATAATTAGGTAAACTTGTTTTGATTAAAAACTAATGAATTACATCATAAATATTACATGGGTACATTTTTTCAGGGAAATAGATTTTATTAGTACTTCCTTTTTGTGATCTATCCTGTTGAAACATTTTACTAACTAGCTAGATCTTCTAGAGAATGATGCATTTTAAATAAATATGGGGTTAGGCAGAGATCAAGGTAATCTGACAAAATACATTCCATTCCTGAAACGGTTACTAGTAGAATGCTGACTGAACATATGATCACGATTTGTTTTATTCTCTTTTCTTTTGGCAATCAGAAAATACTAGTTAGCTTAAACAGAACCAATCTCTTCCCCTCTTTTATATATAAAAATTTTATATATATATATATAAAATTTTTTTTTTTTTCCCTGAGCCCAGGCTTTGGGAATTGATGTAGAATTCTGTTTCTGTCACTTTGTGAGTCATCTGGCTAGTTAAGTTTGGCTCCGAGCAATGTGTGGCCCTTATACTCATTTTGATTCTTCAGTGTCAGTCTCCCACTTGGAGCATGTTGCCACACTTCAGCCAGCTTAACCAGGGCTTTCAAGTTCATGTGAACACAGCATGAATCACTAGTTGATCAGTAGAATGTTCATTCCAGTGATGTCACTAATTATCCTTTGGTTATAAACCCCCCTTAAACATTCCTGTAAAAACAAAACAGCTCATTTGTGCAGTTTTACTTTGCATCTTTGAGTGTTGTGTGCCCTTGAAGATACAACGTGGTCTAAATGATGAAGGATTCACTGTCAATATGTTGATCTACTTGTCCCATTTTCCTGATAAACTTCGGATATCCAGGAAATATGAAAATTTGCCCCTTTCATGTGATGGAACACAGGGACATGTGTACACACCCACACCCACACAAACACACACACACTCTCTTTAAGAAAACATGGTCTTTGTGTACACTTTTAGAGTTATATCCAGTTAATGCATAGGTCATATTGCTCTTTTAATATTCTCTTCTCCCTGTTCACCCTTCCTCGTGTTCACCACCTCCTCTCACCT